AGTAGGCCTATTATTATTAATAGTTTAGTTTGTATTAGGCCTATTTGGTCAAAATTTATATAAAGTTATATAAATGTATTGTTTTAGTATGAAATGAAGAAATAGAATGAAGGAAGAATACCAAAAATTATATAATAATGATAATCGCTCATTATTACATTTTAAAGTTTGTAGTAAATTTTAGGCACTAGTGCAAAAAATGTACTATTCACCTCCACTAGTTAGTCGAGGTGCCGAGCCTCTCACGTTTCAAATTCGACATCGAATTGAGACCTTACGTGACTTCCAAAATATCTTTTTAGAAATTTATAATATCAGTAAAGTTTTATAAAAACAAAGAAGTTAAATTGAAAATAGTTGCCTATTATAGCACCGTATTTGATCCAATTGTTTGTACGGACTTAATAACAATAATATCAGGGCACGAAGCCCCTGTATGTTTCTTTATGAACAATAGTTTAAATATCACTATTAGAACGTGTTAGCGCGTGATATAAACAAATTAATCTTCACATGGAACATACTTTATGTGTAACACACGAAGACATGGATCCAAACGCAAATTGCTGTCGGAAACGATGTCTGCATTGTATCTGACAGATAAATGAGCCTAAACCGAGACTCAATGGTGATGAAAACTACTGAGAAGAATGGTCAGATCATGGTCCTACTATAGCCTACATAGGAGCTTGGGCCCACTAACAGTGATTGGTTCCTTCTAAATATAAACTTTCTTAGTCATATAGATGCCCTCTAAAGAACCCATTGGGGTCTTAACTTTTTTTAAATTTAGAACATACTCACCTTCACCACCCCTTTCCTATTACGGTGCATTGGCACCTCGTGTAGGCCTTTCGGCACGGTATCCGGGCAACACCCAATAACGCATCCTGCGTTGGCCCCTGAACCTGAGGCCAGGTATTCATGTTTAAATAAAATTGTCTAGTGTACAGTAATTTTTAAAGAATGTTAAGTGTACCTATTCTTTTTCCAATTAATGTTTGTGTACAACCGTATATTTATATATAAAATTGACTTACCAAATACTCCATAAATTAAACTGAAAGTCACACAGAGATAAGTCGGGTATAACATGGTCTATCAGAGTATGACGCAATTCCAGGTTATAAATAGACTAGTTAGTAAATAGTTATAGTTAGTAGAGGTTCACGATTTGCACAACACACTCTCTGTAATGAGTAAATGTAATTGACATATGAATTCAGTTTTTCGAAAGATCAACCCCTAATTAAATTATCGATTCAGATATTTGAGTACAGGTGCTATTGGTTAAAATATAAATAGCCCTAAGTACTTGTGGTTTCCAAGATCATATATTCAGTTTTATTGGGATTAAAACGAGTATTATTTTGTAATGCTTATTAGTATAATTGACAAGTTTTTGGAGGCCAGCACTATTATTAGTTATCAATCGTTATTATTATTATTATTATTATTATTATTATTATTATTATTATTATTATTATTATTATTATTATTATTATTACTATCATTATTATTATTATTATTATTATTATAATTATCAATAAAAAAAAAATCTTCTCTGTAAAATAATGACATGCTCAAACTTCTTACAAACAAAACAAAATTGCATATAAAAATATACCTAATACATTATTATGTTTCTTTAAATATTAGTTCCATACTACAATACTTTTATAAATTAACAACCTATGCTTTAAATACTAACAACAGTAATTATGACTTAATAATATCGGTGTTCAATCAATTTAGCACTAAACTATAAAAACAAAAACCGGTACCAACTGTTATAAAGCAGAAGCAGAGGGATAAGCAGTCAGATACTGTATTCAATACCAAATGTATCGCCGACAATCTGAAACATTTTAAATGGAAAATACTTTATATTATACTGATTTTTAAAATATAACCCCTAGGCGCCTAAATCTACATTAAGCTGATTTACCAAATACCAATTAAACTGAATGTCGAATAGCAATTAGTAGGTATTAATCAGGAAAACCGTATACTGGATTTGTGATTTCGCTATTGTCTACACACCGTGCACATATTTTTTCTATTCTTGATAAAAAATAATTGTATTTTTTAGTGGGTTGAACAATTTAGTAATCGAATATTACATTATCAAACCCTACTCTGTAGAGATAATTATTAACAATACAAAAGAACTATATGAAATAATATTTATTATTAAGTTAGAATATGGATTAATAATTAGGCGTTAGTTATTTAACAAAAAACAACCACGAACTTCAAGCCAAGTGTCAACAAATGCCTTTGTATTAAACTAGGCCTTTAAATTCGAATTTTCCATTAACGTTTTTTACTGCGCTTTTTACGATGAAAGTGTCTTTCGGAGCAGCTTCATGAAACACTGATTACAGGTTCATACAGATTTAACTAGGTTATACTGCAAACGATTTGATGATTCATTAGTAGGCCTCGTTAAACAGCTGAATGGTTATGTAAGTGGTCATAAGGGATAGGGTACTACGCCAATTTCTAATTTTCCGAAGTGATTTAATTAAATCCTGATCTAACGATATCTGATGTTATTGGTGTTACAAACGATACACAGAGAATTAAAATAGTTTCAGCTGGAATAACAATCGGCATTTCTATAAAATATTTTTATTGCAAAATGAATGAATTTAAATATAGAAAATTATAAAGAGTAAACAAAACGTTTAAAGAAAACACGCCATAAGGGAAAATAGTAATGACAGGATGACCGGCTTCAATTTGTTTTTGTTTAGATGTTTTTTTCAACTACAGATCTACTGTACACTTAAACGATCGTATGTTATTTAATTAATATTAGTTGTGAAACATCAAACGATTAACATTCCAAGAAATAGCAACAATTGAAAATGGTGGATCGCAAGCCAACCTCTGAAACCCAGCGGTTTCAGAGCTTTCATTGCTCTCTGAGTAGAACTAACAACCTCTGTGGATCGAGGCCTTTCGAATATGTTGCAGGAAAAATGTGGAACCAGCTCCAAGAAGACATTAGAAATTTGTCAACACTTTGTGAATCCAAGTCTGAACTTAAATCATTTCCTTTTTTTTCTCATTTTGACTAAATACAATAACTGATTGCTTTTTTCTCTCGTTTTTTTTTTTTTTTTTTTTTTTTTGGTGTGGTTGCGGGGTGGGGGGCGGGGGCAATGTCTCGATTAGTATTCCTGAGCACCCGGTCGTCTCTGGCAGGGCCAAATGTATTTCCGGTCGCTTTGTTCGAGCCTCCATAGTTCGAGAGGTCTGGGAATGCGCCAGGATTGTGATGGATAGTGACCCCAAAGAGTGTTTGAGTCTTTATTTTGCCTGTCTTCCCATCCATATCAGTTAAAAGTAAAATGAATATACAAAAAAAAAATAGATGCTAGTAAATAAATAAACAAATAATTAAAATAAAATTTAAAAAATGCAGAAAAAATGCTACACTTTGCAGGTGGAAAACGGCGCCGCGAGCAGCTCTGCTAGAGAAGGCCAAATAAGTAAACATCACAGTATTATTAAGTAAAATCAATCGAAGGCCACGTAAGGGATTAAATAATTATAATAGTCCTTACAAATATAGTATACGCCCAGTCGTTTTTATGGTTTCCCATTTATATAATCAACACAAAAAAATTATTTAGACGAACACAATTCTATACATGAGAAATAATAAGCCATCAAACGGATTTAATGATTAGCAATCAATGTTTATTAACCATAACACTACGTCATTGGGTACTTGAAATAATTCCGTGCCCTGATGTAAAATATTGATTAACAACTAAGTTTAAAAATACCGTGACAGAAGAACGAACCAATCACATCAAACAACGTGTATGTATACAATAGGCTAGAAGAAGAAATTCCATGATGTACCGTATTGAGAGGATAAGGAAAATGTGGGGGTTTATGAGTATTATTATTATCATCATCATTGTTAATAATATTATTGTATTGTCTTTAGTATTCACATAGAGCAAAGCTAAAAACTCTGTGGGGGGGGGGGATCCCAACATAGGGAGAACTTAGAAAGTAATACGGTAGTACTGTAAATGAGTGTCATGTGCAGTGAAATAAAGAAAGGAAAGGGGATAGAATAGAAGTAAGACCAAGCAAGTCTCACAACAGAAAATAGCCTGGTGCTAGATTCTCTTGATCATATCGAAAAAATGTCTTGTCTTGTTATCGATTTGGTTGATTGATTGTCTGATTGATTTAATATATTCCGTGTAAACACCAAGGATAGCCCAGGAAAGTCTAGAAGAAGACTTATTTTCAGTGGGGTGCTTCTGGTGGTGATTGGGTAGTACACCGGGAACAATCCCCTACTTTTTTCGAAGAGTGTAGGCCTACACTGCGTTCCTTAACGTTATCAACGATGAAAAAAAATTCTTATATATATTTTATATTAAGATGAATAAAGGAAACTTGTATCTTGAATTTGATTAAGAGTAATCATTTGTCTATGCCATTTAAAAGTAAATTATCTTAGTGGTGTGGTATAATGAAAATACAGCAATTCCAAAAAAGGACAATATTAACAATCATCAAACAGGCCTACAATATCGAATGGTAATTACTGTTTATTAAAACTGTGTGCTCGATATTGATTAACGAATAACGTACTTACAAGAAAACACGGTGATATAATAAAAGCTATCGGACTTTCACTAAACCTATGCATTTTGAAATTCATTGTGTAACAGGGATAATAAAGATTTTATCATTAGGATGTGCAATGAGTTTAAGTACAAATAATAGGAATGTCACTCCAAAAATTAACAAGGCCATTTTATTCTGCTTTCGATTAAGTATCATCAGGAATAACAACAACAAAACAAAGTATATACAGTACAAGTTGCCAGAAACAATAATTAATATGCATTTATTTAAATGAGGCAATTATTTATCTATTTAGAGCATATTAATTCGGATTTCCGGCAACTTGTACTGTTTATACTGTACTTTATTTTTTTGTTGTATTATGTATTATTCCTGATGATGATTAAATAAAAGCGAAACATAGGATATAAATACTTGGGTGTTTAAGTTCTGTCCTTAATAATTACTATACGTTAATTAATAGTTTGTTGAAATAACTGCTATTCGGCCTATAATTAAATTAAATTTATATTTTAGTATCACTTTCAGTTAATTATTTTATGAATAAACAATTTGATAAATGCAATGTTTATACATTGTTTGGATTGTATTTTTTATAATATATTTATTTCTTTATTTTATTCATTTACAGCCAAGGGCGATATGTTTGCTTTGATTTGATTTGAATTTATTTAGCCATCAGAGTGTAAAATACAAAAACAATTTTGTATTAATTCAATCTTATAGCTTTCAAAATATTATATTATAGTACTATCATGCAATTTAACCAAGACTGACATACTGAAATATTATATAGCAAATCGCTAAAATCACTGTCTAAGACAAGCTTATTAAAACATTCATTAAGTAGAAAGTAGAAAGGATAATTTAAAATATCGTACAGGTACCGTACTGTACTATAAAACTTATTTCTATTCATAAAAATACGAAATTTTGGCATAATGTCCTTTAGTGTCATGATTTGTCTCCCCTTCAATCTGACATCCAGCATCATCGATGTGAAATCCGTGACACGCTTTCTGTCGCAGACATCGTAGCGCGCATCTCACGTGTGAAACATCCATAGTCACTCTACGAGGCTCCACAGATTGAAAATACAAGCAATCTACGAATGAAGCAAAAAAAAAAAAAAAAAAAAAAAAATTTTGATAATACATTGCAAAATATCTGAAATTATATGTAGTTCCAAATGTAAACATTTTTAACATTTATTAATATCAATATTATTGCAAAATAAGTTCAATAATTATGGACATTGGGAACCCATGACTCAGCATCCCATGACTCAGCAATAGAAATAAAAATGTTATGGACATACTGCACAAAAAAAAATAATATAAACGTCATGATTTCGTTGTGAAGAAAATTCACTATGAATTGAAATACTGTTTAAAAGCCTATTAAATAAATACTGTAAGTAATTATTTTCCGATTCACATTCAAATTTATTGTAATCACATAAAAAATATATGAAATTTGTTTTTCTGAGTTGTAATACAAATAAAATCATTAAAATATTAAGTACATAAGTTCCATTAAAAACATTCTATAAAAAAGATTAGTGTAAAAATATATCATAGATAAACATAAAGTGTGTTAATTTATAAAACAACAAAGCTACCTTTCAGAGTGTAAAATACATCCAACCAATCAATGAACTACTAGAAAACAGATAACCAAATACAGTATAATAAATATATAGACTTGTATAGGCCTATTTTATTTCACAACACATTGTACCGCTTACCAAATTCACAAATATATCCCGTTGTTTTAAGGTCGGCAGGTTTGTCATAGATTTGACCATTGATGATATTTAACCTAACCCCGCAATGTTCAGAGTCAACCGCACTAGGTTCAAATTTACTCCATGGAATAATAGAAGAATCAAACTCTTCTCCTGTTTCCCACTTCCAGTTTGCATCTTCATTCGGCTCCAAACCGGCCTGGCGTGATAATCCGATAGCGTATTTAACGCCAGCGTAGTGCTTCCTCATGTATTCGAGGACGGCAGCTAGTTCATCGGCAGTTGTGATACTTGCGAGATATCCACCTGATGCTTCACATACATGTTTATAATCCAACCAGGTCTGTTTTTCGTCACCTTTAAATCTCTCAGAACTATATTTCTGACAATGGAGATTAGAATAACCTAACAAAGGGAAGAATGAAAAATTTAGGTCTGGGTACCCATCAAGACCTTTACAAAGTATTATAGAACGTTTCATTTAGACCCATTGGTTTTTAAAAAAAAAGAGATATTTAGGTCTGGGTCCTCAACAATTAAAAAGACCCTCAAATTTACACCCTTCATTGGATCGTCACTAACACATAAAAATTTCTTTATTAAACTTTCCCGTAAGTTTCATTCACATCAACTGACCGGTTTTTGAAATATGCAGTGTAGATTAATTAATTGGTCAAAACACACACACCCCACCATAGATTGACACTAAATATTTGGAGCCACATCCTTGATATATGGCCTATGCTTTGGCAAAACACGGAAAAATGTTAAGCAAGGGAAGTGACCAAAGTGACGGCCAGAAAAAACAGTGCAAAAAGATAGGGAAAAAAGAAAAATAAACTCCGAACAAAAAAAAATGGCTTTTCATATATATATATAGAGAGAGAGAGAGAGAGAGAGAGAGAGAGAGAGAGAGAGAGAGAGAGAGAAAGAGAGAGTAGGCATCAATGTGATTGCGAGCACGTATGTTCCCAGTAAATTAAATAATAATAGAGACATTGATAAAATCAAATGACACGGTTAACGTATTGGAGGAACATAAGTATTTTATTTCTCGCTTGCATATATATTCGAACATTAGTTTACATTGGACAGCTGGCATTGGGCAATCATGCTTTATATCCGAGCATTGGACACGATCGATCTCACGTGAGTAGTCAGTTTTAGGGTTACTTAAGTTTCCCTTTAATATCCCCATTTGTCATCCCCCTTTCCATAATTTTCCATAATAAATGTTAAGTTAGTGTTTACATGAAAATGTTGTTATTAAAGATTCGAGATAAGGCTTATACTATAGTAGGCATATATAATATTCAGATTTTGGTTTGCTGGGTACTTTTAGCATAGTAAACACAACAGAAACAAATATATAAATTATAATAACAGTGCTAAAATAGGTGGTTAGGTGAAATGTGGGGGAATTCGAAATTGCAGCCTCTTGCTAATTAAACCGTAAACAAACCGTACTTATTCGAATAAACCCCCCGATTTGAATAAACGCCGACCCGAGGTGTTTATTTTTTCCTCAAATAAACGCCCTTCTAATGGAAGCAACATCGTTTTCAGCACATTCTATAAATGTTCTACCTGTACATCTTTCTAACCTGGTTGGGATCAAGTCTTTATGATCACACAATTACACATTTTGGTGGTAATTATGTGTTGCAGTTCCACATTTACAGTAAAATTAAGAGGCGTTTAGTTGAGTATAATACGTATCCATTTTACATTAAAAAAATAAACGCCTCCCACGAATAAGCCAATAAACGCTTCTCTCGAAAAACCCCTTCTTAACAATGAACGCCCCGGGGCTTTATTCAAATTAATACAGAAATTAAAGCATACAATACACAATGATAAAGCAAGCATGAGCTTTAAGCATGAACACCCTAACAAAAAATACAAAATATACAACGAATCATATTAACATATATACAAATAATCATAAATTAAAAGCAGATATTCCAATTTAATCCCGATGATTTTAAATTGGTATGGAGAATGTGTAGACGATTAAGATTGGCATAGATTCCCAAGATTTAATTTTCGTAACTTAAATCGGGTAGATAGGTAAGTGCATTGTGGGTCTACATTAAAATAAAAATTCACGTGTAACATTGATTCGATTTTACATACTTTAGAAACATTTTGTTGGAATTAATAATTCCTAGGAATTTAACTTCCGTTGAACGTTCAAGTTCTAGGATAAAATGGGTAGAACCCCTCATAGGGGACACCCATATTAAGGGGACACTTTTCGGTGAAACGAGAGAAATATATCTTTTAACACTATGACCAAAGCCTTAAGCTGCAGTGATGATACCCTTATCAAGGGGACGGGGACAATTTCCAAATGTGCCCATTGGTCAAATCAATACATTTTTGACTACGAGGAGACATAAAAGCTGGTTCCCACTGAACGCGATCAAGCTAATTTCGCGTCGAAATGTGGCGCGCGCGGCTGAATCGAAGACGCGACTGGCGTTTCCAATGTGAACATGCAAACGAATTTGTAGTAACACCCAATATTCCAACTTCGACGCGGTGCGCGCGGTGGTCGCGGAGGCTTCTCCTGCGAATTCACAAGAGAATCCAAGACCAACTTTTTCGGATTCGCGAGCGAATTCGTGGCCGATGGACCAATCGCAAGGCTTAGATTCAATTTATGTCAAAGGTCAACAATAAATTCACGACCATTGTTAAAACAATGTACAGGTGAGTCCGTTTCATGCAAACTCTGTGGAACAGTAGGCTACCGTTGTTTAGGTCTGACAGGGCTTGAAATTAAGGGTTATTTGGTCGCATTTAATGCGACCTGATTTTTTAAGATGCGACAAGGAATTCAACTTTGTAGCGCTCAGTGAGACAAGGTCATTTGATAGCGCGAGTATATTTTATAAGCGGCAGGAAGGTGGTTTCTCTTTTGCAACTTGTACAGCCCATTATTTTCAGTCAGGCAGTACGCAAAACATGTTATCATTCATTTTATATGTACTGTATCAACCAATCAGCATGACCTAGACTGTTAAAATGTGACGTCGTACACTAAAACCGTGTCCATGTGCGCTCATCTTATTCTTGGTAAATAAGCGATCACCGTCAAAGCGAAGGAGACTGGTATAAAAACATCGGATTGCTTGATTTTTTACTATTTTATTGAGTGCTACTCTTACCTGTACCTCCTCGTAATTGTGAACGTATTTGTTCATAAAATAGACTATGTACCGAAATTTCAAACGATCGTATACAGTATTGACTCGTACGATGTAAACGGCCCAGATCAAGCAATAATCAAAATTTAACTCTAAATAGGTCGTAAATAAATAAAATTAGTCATCATCTGGATGATTATATTCCAAGTACTACCGGTATTAAGGCAGACATCTTTTATTGAAAACCAAACGAATTACCTAAACCTCATACATTATGAAATAAGATTACGCTTCTTCAATCACATGGCTGATGATATCAAAGGGTATAAAATACTCTTTGATAATAACCTCAGCCAGACTTCACGGAGCAGCTATAGTTTAACAACATGCATCTCAATGAGCAACATCTTGAAATTTACAAAAAACAAACAAACAAATAGGTTTCACAGCAAATTTTGAAACCTAATTAAATGAAATAATATAGAAATTAGGAACTCCTTTACTACCATTTATTTACTGAACGAGTCAGTCGGCTTCTGACCTACTTTTGTTCGTATTGGCGGCGTACAATGAGTCAAATGACTTGTGTCTGGCAACCTCTGTGTCTACCAGGAGGAGCCTGGAATTGGGAACGTTTCTCACTGAATGTAGTAGACGGTAAGTAGAGTTATTTCATAGGCAACTAGTAATGGGCCTCTATCAAACAATTTATTTCGTTCTTAACAAAGTATCAGCAGAAGGTAAGCAGAATGATTGTTTAATCGTGTTTTGAAATAATATAAAAATTGAATTGTATATAAATGAATATTTAAAGATTGAATTTTAAACGTGGAATTAATAAAGTGCAACAATTGAATTAATTGGTTAATTTAATCTATAAGATATGTAAAAAAATATATAATTCTACAGGGAATGTTTCTTGTTTTGACAACAACAAAAAACGTAACAACAAAACAACATCGAACTAACTGGTAGGCCTTCCAATTATGAAACTATATTTCGCGGAGTAACATCCCAAACCACGTGTGGGCCCGACTACACCGGCTGGCGATTTTTTTTCCGTACGAAATATTTGCATCAAACTTCTCTCGGGCCATCTCGGATTGACTCGAGTGAGTACCATACTAGGAACAAGAGCAGACACTTCGCAATGTCGTGACGCTCTAGTTTTCCTATTATTGCTCTTTCTATGTTTACCTACGGTAGGCCTATGAAATCTCACGGACTTATGGGATATACGTGTAGACCGGTCGGATTTGGAGGAAGGTGTCACATTTTTGCAGAATTTACCAGACCAACTTTTTCTAATGTATTTTTTGACGTAGATTACGAATCTGATTGTTGATCGGTCCGGGGAGGGGGATTTTTCGAGATATGTGGGGTCAAAGGTCAAATCTGGCATATTTAAGGAACGGGATCACAAAAGTGAATTAGTGTACCAAAATAATGTTTTCTAATGTAATTTAGGTTATAGATTCCAAAAAATGACAGTAAATTGGACAGGTATGGAGTCGTTCAAAAGTTATTGGGGTCAAAGGTCAAATAAGACATAATGTGTGATAAATGTGAAAAAAGAAACATTTCTGACATGTTTTTGGGCGTAGAATGGAAATCTGATTGTTGATTGGTCAAGGGAGGGGTGTTTTTCGAGATATTCGGGGTCAAAGGTCAAATTCGGCATATTTAAGAAAGGTCCTAAAAGTGCAATAGTTTACGAAAATAATGTTTTCAATGTAATTTAGGTTATATATTCGAGAAAAAATGACAGTTGGACAGGTGTAGGGTTCGTTGAAAAGTTATTGGGGTCAAACTTCAAATAAAATATAATCTGGGAAGTGGTATTACAGGTGTGTGTGATAAATACCAAAATAATGTTTTACAATGTAATTTTGGTCGTAGATGTTTAAAACTTTAATGTTATGTACCTTAAAATTCATCCTCACTCTCCGACATTTCATCCTCTATGTCTACTTCTAAAGATTTGTCGTCAATTTCACTTTCACTGTCACTGTAACCTTCACTTGTTTCAGTAAGTAATTCGATCAGATCATCTGACATCACAGCATTAATTTTGTCCAAAGAATTTCGCTGTCAGCAGTCCACCCATGATTCTGTGGATTTGGAGCATCAATTATGGGGACACACGATTGCCCCCATAAACGGCAGACATACTTGGATCTCTGTATGTGTAGATACAGGCATTCTTTACAGGGTGGTAAGAAGAAAAGGTCTACAATTTACCACTTTTATTAT